AAACGAGCTTTTTAAAGCTTGTTTAAATTGTTTAATTTTAAAAAATGATACCTTTTACAATTTAGGATTTTTGAGTTAGGGGTTGCAGAACTCAAGGAGCAGTACACTGAAAAAACTGATGCTTTAATGGCGAGTGAATCCGTGCATTTGCCGTTTTTGCTTTTGTGGCAATGGTACTGCTTTTGCGCTAAACAAAACTACTGCAATTGGGTAAAATTCATCGTGCATTTGCCCTGTTATGCATTTGAGCCAAATGAGATGCTTTTATGTCAAATTTTGGATTTTCAGGCTTAAGCCATGCTTTTGTTAGAAAGTCGGTCTTCAGCACAAAACTACTGAATTTGGCCCAATTTCTGCGTGTTTTTTCTCCTATGCTTTCAGAGTTAAATGAGATACTTTTATGTCAAATTCGGAAATTTACAACTAAAGACCATGCTTTTGGTAGAAAGTCGGTGCTTTTGGCATAAGTACATTCCGAGAGGCGTAGTTTCGTATACACCTACACACGCGCCGGTACCCGGCGGCCATCATCAGTCTCGCTTGAACATCGATACCGAACACAGATGCGTGTGTTTTTTTCCGGTTTTTTTTTGGTTTCACGGTCAGAGCACAGAATAAAGGTCAGAGTGCATGATGAATAGTGACAGTGTAGAAGAATTCTTGGCGGGGTGTCGTTTGAGCCACTTGTTATCAAAATTTCGAGGTATGTATATATATATATATATATATATATATATATATATATATATATATATATATGTCTATTGTTAAGTTCTGTTTGTGATATTTTGAAATGTATATACATTATAGAAACAAACAATGTTGGTTGGTTGATCAAAATCTTTCTCTAAACTAATCTAAGGATTTTAAATCACGGCATATAATATCTTAAAATTACAGTATAATACCGCTCTAAACTAAGACTAAGATTATATCTACATAATCGTACTACATTTGTAGCGAAATGATAAGGTATTAGCTCAGAAAATTCGTAATGCCATCAGATAAATTGCAAGCCATGGCGATGGTCTTGGGCGTCCATTTTTTTTTCAGTAGAATCCTGGTCCTGGTGTTTTGGAGGAAGGTTTTCCAAAAACCTTGCTTTTAGGCTAAATGCGCGAGCATTTGTAGTAAAATCTTATTATTACAGTAAAGCCTTAAGATTTTGTTACAATTTCGAGAAAATTTTGCCTCCTTATCGCTCATATTATATATTCATGTCTTGTTGCCAAAATCAACGGCGGCTCTAGGCAACTTTTTAACTTTTCTTGGGAGGAGAGCGCACATAATACTTAGCATAATACTTACATCCTGATCCAGGAAGGGGGTGCAGCCCCATTTTGGGAAAAAATTAAAATACATTGTTAAGATTTTTTGAATTTTTTTTTGTTTAAATTTTTATCCGTTTGGATTATCTATCCTTGGATCAGTCTGGGGTGGGGGGGTAAATTTAACACCCTTGGCTAAACTATGCTTTTGTTTTCTTGCAGAGCAAAACATTGACGGATTAGACATAATAAAATCATTATCAGTAGAAGAAGTGGGCATTCTCACAGAAAATATTCTTGGGGATAAAATAAAGCTGACAAAAGCTATCCAGAACCTAAAAGTTGGTGATGCATCCAATAATGAGAACTATGTATGTATATTTGTACCAATCTATAACCGTCAAAAAATGACAATTTTTGCACATTTCTGACATCAGTTTGCAAAATGCCCCTTTCATCCCAGAATCTACAACCGAGCGCAAAGTACAAATTTGCGCCAAAATATTGTAATTTTGCAAATTATGTTTCAGGGTTCTAGGGAACCTCTCCTACCAAACCACATTTTTAGTTTTTTGGGGTGTTTCTACCCAAACTTAAAATTGGTTGAGGGACACCGTGTACCAGAGAGTGATCTTTTTATTTTTTTCTACTTTCAACAAGGTACTTTTTTGTTAAACATTTCAGTTCTTGTTAGTACCTAAGTTTGTTGATTTTTAATAATTAAGGTGTTTTTGTTATTTAGTATAAGTTATGTTTGAAAGACTTTTATTTTTATATTATAAATATGTTACGATGAAAACCAATAAATCTTTTTTTCGATACTTTTCTTGTTTATTTATTTTTATTTTCAGATGAACTTTTTTTATAATTAGTGTTTCTAGTTTCTTTGAGACGTTGCGATGGAATAAAACCCCGGCGAATTTCTCCTAAAAGCACGCGAACTTATCTGCACAGGGCGATCAGTTATGTGTACCCCAAAAACTTCTTTGCTAGTCGGTTAAAAAAGTTTTTGAGGGATTCGCATATCTGATCGCCCTATATATACAGATAAACTCGCATGTTTTCAGGACAAATTCACCTGGCCATTTTGTTATAAATTCGCAGTGCTTTTGTCGCAAATTCCCAATAATTTTGTCGCAAATTCGCAATACTTTTACCGCAAATTCGCAGTGCTTTTGTTGCAAATTCGCAGTGGTTTTGTAGAAAATTCACAGGCCTTTGTAGCAAATTCGCAGTGCTTTATTAAAAAATTATAATGGACCTTGAAGAGTTGAGACTTTGCCTTAAAATCATGCAAAATGCTGTGCTTTTATGACAAGAACATACGCTTTTGAAATAAGGAATTTTAGGCGTTTATCCCAAATGCGCCTTGAATTTTCCCCAATTTTGCCATGCATTTGGCATATATCAAATGCATGACGCAATTGGGTCAAGTGCGTACACGCTTGGGCCAATCGGTTTATTTTTTCAGTGTAGCAGTAGCAGTAGTTGTCCCCCTTGATATAAAACTTTACGTGTGTCAGCGGTTTTTTCCAAATTCTTCCAGTTTTCTAAAAATTTAAGGTGGGAAGTTTTAAAAGCATATGCATGGTGTTTCTTAAATATCTCGAAAAGAAACAGACCGATTTAAAAAAATAAAACATTGATGTTTAGGGATTTTAAAGACCTTTAAAATAATGTATTAGTCGATACCCCTTCAAATTCTTAAGGGGGTAGCTCCTGGGCGCAAGACGTAGGGGTGAGAAACCAAATTTTGCCATGAAAAGTTGTCCCCCTCGATATAAAACTTTACGCGTTTTTTCAAAATTTTTTCAGGTTCCAAGAAATTTAGGGTGGTTCGTTTTAAATGGAACACACTGTATATACATATATGTACGGGCACGGGCCTGTATATATACAGGCCCGTGCTAGCGAAAGAATTGTCAAACTAAAATAAAGAAGTAAAATAGTGTTTGTTTTTATACATTTATACATTAATTATATATACAATAATTTTATTTTTATATTCACCCATAATATAACAAGTGGTATGATTATCATCGATGATATTTTCGAATTGAAACCGAGCTGCAGATTTCACGAGTCCGCAGGACGAGTGAAATGTGCTGCTTTGGTTTCAATGAGTAAATATCTTCGATTAATAATCATACCACGAGTTATATTTAGTGAGAAAATACAATGAATTTTAGGATTTAAAAAATTGTCAGATTGACATTTAAAATTAAAATGTGCTTTAAAATATAAAAAGACTTTAATAAACCTTATTTATTCAAACTTACCTTAATTTCATTATCGTTTACACCAACCCATCGATCTTTTAGAGTTTATAATTAATTATTTTATTGATATATATCAAACACAGAATTTAAATGACAAAAAATGTTAAATCAAGAAAAGTGTCAAAATCCTTAGTACCGTGTAAACAAGATGATAATAGTTATTTATGTCATTAGGTTAAGAAGTAAGGCTTTTTGTGCTAAGCTCAAAGTTTGAAGGCCGACGCGTAGCGGAGGCCTACAATTGAGCGAAGCACAAAAAGACACTTCTTGGCCGAATGGCATACAACATTTTATCTTCAAAGCACTTTATATAGGTCAATTTAATTCAACATGAAAGCGGCCTAACCTCACTTTTTAGAATCTCATTTATTTATTAGCTAAAGATTACATTAAATGTACAATAATTATTATTCCTTTTAGAAGCAGTATACTGCTATTATAATAGTTTGACAATACCTAGCTACATGATTTAAGTAGAAATGGATTTTTGTAAGAAAATTGTTTACTTACCCTCTTGCTATTACATTGAATTCAATTAATTGTTTAATAAATAGGTATCTAATTTCAATTTGTTTGCATTTTTATTAAAAAATAGGTAGTTTGAAATGTTTACGCTGTGTTTAACATTTAATTTCACTGAAAACTTAAAGCAAATTAAAACTTAAAGATAATTTAAATCGTAGAAAAAGAAAACACAACTGTGAAATACACAGAAACGTCAAATTGCAATGTCCTAACCTCACATTTTGTTTTATTATTCATATTTAATTTTACAATAATTTAATGAAAAATAATAAACATTAACAGTAAAACAAACAAATTAGTGCTTATTATAAATAAATTAAACCAGTTTAGTACGTTAATCTCTTAGAAAAGGATTAATTTGTCAAAACAATACCCCTAGCGAAAAAAATCGAACTAATTACTTGCCTCATAAAAATTTTTATCGGCCTAGGCCATAACAAGTTATTTCTTTATCGAATGTTGACAACAATAAAGTTTAAATTATAGACCGCGTGGAGATAAAAAATATTGCCGCTGAGATAAAATGCGTAACTATGGAATGCTGGCATTTTATTGTTCCTAATATTAATGAATTGTATTGTCTTGTACAGAAAGTCAATTTTGATAATAAAGATAAAATAAACTTAAGAATTAATTAGTTATAGAACTGAAGGTTTGTGTAACGTAATATTGACTAAAACTTGTTTTTATAGGCATTAATAAATGAAGTTCTTGGAATAAATAAAATCAATACAAATTTGCATAGTGACTTTGATTTTTATATAAAATGCATTATTTACAATTAATTTTCTCACTTGATGAAATCCTTTATTATGCATTTATGCAAATAATGGAAATATTTTAATAATGCCAATTACTTCCCCACCCATACAAGAATATTTAAATAAATATTAAAAGTATAAAAGTGCCCTTCTAATTGCTTTACATAACAGGTAAAGAAATATTTGTTCAGATACATATTGCCATTTAATCATGAGGTCCTTTTTAATTGTGTTGTTCGTGGCTGTTGTTGGTATTGCCGCCGATAAGTATACAACCAAGTATGACAACGTTGATTTGGATGAAATCGTCAAAAGTGATCGTCTACTGAAAAACTACGTTAACTGTCTTTTGGAAAAAGGAAACTGCACCCCGGATGGCGTTGAATTAAAAAGTAAGTTAATTTTTATTTATCAACAATGTCTGGTTTTATTATTCTTGACCTTAAAACATACATCTTATTTACTTCAAAAATGACTAATTGTCATAGATAAAAAGCAGCCACTAATAATTCTCGTAAATAGCAATTTGTATCCCGATAATTTAGCAGTCAATTTCTATGTAAAATTGTCCCCTGAATTTGAAAATGTCGTCAAAAGATATAAAAGTAGAAGAGTTTTTAAGATATAGGCAATTTTCCAAATAATATGAATTTGACTATATCTCAAAAACTGCCCTACTTTCATAACTTTTGGCAGTATTTTCGGATTCAGGGGACAATTTAACATAATAATAAGCTATTAAATATTGGGGAGACCATGATATCCTGGTTAACCCTGGTGAAAAATCACTTTGACTAATTTATTTTAGAGAGTAAATTAGTTTTTTTTATAATTCTTGTTTATAATACATTTCAAACACCCAGAATGTTTCAAAATTTGATAAAAAGATTAAAAGTACTAAAATATTTAAAAACATATGATTATGTCAATATCCATATTTCTAAAAATGGCACATTAGTGTAATGTATCTACATATAAAAAAATTACAAAAATTGTGCAAAAATAGTTTTGAAGTTAAAAAAACTAGGCTAATGCTATGTTTTCCTAAAACAATTTATGTGACCTTTAAAACCATAAGAAAATAAAATAAAAATTTTAAATACCTTTAAAGGTATTTACAAAAAACTTAAATTGAAATGGTTTACACCCCCGAACCAAACTGTATTAAGTGACACTTTTGTATTTGTTCAGGAGGGTAAAATTAAGGTTGTAAATGCGTTCAACTTTTTAACCAGAAGAGATAAATACCTAATTTTTTTTAACATACATAAAGCAATAGCAATGGCTCATTTCACTATTTGGTTCTAAGCCCTAAGCTACTTTGTTTGCTATAAACTAGAGCGAAGTGAATCGGCCCTTTCCGCAGCTGCTAAGTGGTATTTTCCTTTAATTATGGATGTATCATCTGCAAAGAGAGTTATGTTGTTTATATTCAAACAAATGTAATGTCCTCTTCATTTATATTGTTTTCAATAAATCACCTAAGTTTATTTAAAAAAAAAAATTTAATCATATATTATATCACGAGAACTATGAATTTAATAGGGTAAACTAGGCTCAGTAGTTTTTTGTTTGGTTTTTGTTGGAAAATGTTGAATGCAAAATAATTTAATAAAATCACGAGACCGCGTAGCGGTCGAGGGGTTTTATTTTTAATTATTTTGCATGAAACTATTTTCCAAAAAGAAAAATCAAATAAAAAACTTACTGAGCATAGTTTGACAGATTAAATTTATAGGTTGAGTGATATACGTCTAGATTATTTCTCGAATTAAAGGAAACTATTTGACAATTCATAAAATCTGACCTATGTGTCAAAATTTATAAGTAATAAGTAATAATAATAATAATAGTAATAAGTAATAATTGATATTTCGTAAACTAGATAACTTATTTTTTATTGTTTTTTAAAAAATGTTTGTTAAAACTTGTAAATAACACCTTAAAATCGTAAACAAAAATCCAATATGGAGGCTAAAATTTAATCGCTGTTAAATAGTTCTAGTGATTTAATCGCTTATTTAAACGAAATTTACTCGAATATTCAGGATTGGTTCATATTATAATGAGGGAAATAATCACAATAAAATACTACAACACAAAATTCAAAACCATTGAAAATCATAGAAATCATTGAAAATGTTAAACCATCATAACGAAAGCAATGCGCATGTCCCATAGCCGGCACGAAAGTCGAAGTCGAAGTTTGCAGCTTGCAAGAAATTTTCCCACTTCAACTTCCACTTTAACGTAAAATTTCATTGTTCACACGATCACACTGTTAATACATTTGGTTGGATCGCGAGCCAAAGTGCCACTCGGCCAGCGAATTTATTACGAATGTAGCTTAACGGAAAAATAATATTGCGCCCAAAATAGAACCCTGCGGAACGCCATGTAAAATTGGGAGTGCGGATGATAGACCACCATTTATTTTGACACATTGGGTTCTATTAGATAGGTAGGATGCCATTACTCTGCAGCTGAGAGGGTGGAAGTTATAAAAGTAAAGATTTCTTAATAATATTGTCAAAAAATGTTGCCAAATTCACGATTATTTTTACGCTGCTATACAGCGTTGCCAGACCACGAAAAAATTCTGTACTGATTTGAAATGAAAAACGTACTGATTTGACTAAAAAGATACTGTTTAAAAAAACAGTGGGATTTAATGTTAATACTCGTACTTAAAGAACTTGACCCTCCGGCGGTGACGCAATTTAAAACATACCAATACATTTGTTAGCATTGACAATTTGCACCGTGATCGCTTTTTATTTTTTTGAAGCCTTAATGAAATTTTATATTAAAAATGGCAAACAACAGTGCATAGGCCTTTATACACCAATGGACGAAATTATTTTACTTTAAGTTAATTTTTACGGTGTAATATATACCTGTACCTTTATGGCACGCCGTTTTAGCATTTATTAGATAAAAGTTTAAGGAAAATTTTGCAAAACGTACTGACACTATGAAAATAGCACTGACGTACTGACAGACCTTAAAAAGTACTGATTTCAGTACAAAAGCAGTGGCACTGGCAACGCTGCTAAAATAAAAACTAAGTAAGCCACGACTTAATCCGGGTTACCATTGGAAAGAGCGGACAATTGTAGGGGGAAAACATTTAAAATGTCACTTTTAAAAATATGTCAAAATGCAATAAAAACAATCATTTCATTACAATAAAATATTTTATATCAAAAGATGTCTAAAACTATACTAATTTAAGCCATGTGCTCCAATAAGTATTTAAGTCTTATTTTAAGCACCTTCAAAATTATTACAAAACTCATTTTGGGTTTTTTTGGGTAGTAGGTACTAGAATTAATTAGAAATAAAATAAAATAATCTATTGTTTAGGACACTTAAAAAACAGTATTCATTAAACACCCTAATTTAGAATCTTATTATATTTATGACTACAATTAAAATTTCAAATTATAATTTTATAATTTACAGAGCATCTTCCTGATGCCCTACACACCGAATGTTCCAAATGCAGTGAAACCCAGAAAAAAGGCAGCAAAAAAATTGTAAGACACCTTATCGACAACAAACCCGAATGGTGGAAGGATTTGGAAGCCAAATACGATAAAGAAGGAACATACAAAAAGAAATACGAAGAAGAAATTAAAGCTAAGAAAAATTAGGAAAATATGTGTACTTAGTAAAAGAAAATAAGAAAATAAATATATAATAAAGTATATAGTAATATGTATTTTTTAAGCGTATAATAATGTTCATATTATAACAATATTAAGTCTATATAAAAAGTATTCATACTAGATCATAAGTAAAATTATTAGTAAAGTGATATTAATTATTAATGTCACTTTACTAATAATTAATAATTAATATCTCATGGCGGTTGACCTTGAGAGACGCTATAATATTATAACAAATATAATAGAATTTCTAGCCCAGAAATTCCTCTAAATATGTCAATAAATATCAGCATTGTTTACCCTATGTAGTATGTTTTTAGGTCGGCGAGTAATGGTGGATTTTAAGTATACCAATATCTCAGTTATTAGACATGGGACCCACACCAAATTTATAATAGTTTATATTGACATTAAATAAACAAGTTTGGCGCAAACAGAATTTAAATTGAAGTTTGCGAAAAAAAGTTAGTTTTTCCTGTCGCCTACCCTGCCTCCAGGCCCCCCTATTTGAGATAATTCAAATTAAAGTGGTGCAATTTATTATCTACTATAATTTATCGACAAATTTAAAATTTTATTTAAAAAATCCAAATATTACAGTTTTTATACCATTTTAAATATTTTTTTATTTTAATAAAATAAATAATAAAAATTTAAAATCGAATAAAATCTGTTATATTTGGATTTTTTGAATAAAATTTTAAATTTGTCGATAAATTATAGTAGATAATAAATTGCACCACTTTAATTTGAATTATCTCAAATAGGGGGGCCTGGAGGCAGGGTAGGCGACAGGAAAAACTAACTTTTTTTCGCAAACTTCAATTTAAATTCTGTTTGCGCCGAACTTGTTTATTTAATGTCAATATAAACTATTATAAATTTGGTGTGGGTCCCATGTCTAATAACTGAGATATTGGTATACTTAAAATCCACCAGCCGCCACTGAGCGCGATTTGACAGATTTAAGACGTTTGCGCACCCAAGGTCATTTGCCATGAGATATTGGTTGTGTTCCGTAATTTACTGCCATTACTCTCAGTAATTTTACTGTCAGTAGCGAAAAAAGACCGTTCCGTAATTTATTCAGTACTGACGCAATAGTAAAATTGGAACGCGCCTCAGTAGCAGCAGAAAGTGACAATGGTCACGCAAGGTTATGATTTTTAATTAACTGACATTTGGCAAACTTTACTTTCGGCACATAAATAAAAAATAAATATAACAATATAATTTTTGGTTTATGGCAGAGAAATATGGAAATTAATTTTAAAATGACTTACACCACAACAATACGCCAAATACCAAAAATTACTCTTAAATTCGTACGCTGAATACAAATGTATGTTTGTAACATTTTCTAGGTAATACCTAGTAGGTAGTTTAATATTCTGGGTCTTCGTATGCGTACTCCCCGGCGACCTGCCTGCCATCCTTCTTTAATTATTAATTCGTGCCCTTCATCACTGCTGCTTGTACTCAAGTAATATATTAAAAATAAATATTGAAATAATTAGTCCTAGGTATTCACCAAATACCATTATATCCTTCACTTTATTTGACAGCTATTTTTTATGTTTAAAAGCTTGGTTATGTGTTTTACTGCAGCCACAGCACCTCACTGTCACCAGTTGTTTCAGTAAAATTAATCTGCCGTACATTTATAAAGGGGTAGTATTTACCACTGAGCTCAGTAACTGAAAGTGGATTTCGGAATGCGTTTTCAGTACTGACCGTACTGACAGTAAATTACGGAACACAACCATTAATAGCACTCTACAAAAATAAAACAAAAATGTCATTATTAACCTAACCTAAAAATAATGTTTCAAAATCTCAACGATATATTCTAATTAAATGCTTGAAAAAAAGTAGTATAGAAGATCCTGCGGTGAAACCTTTTTAATTGCATGGTACACATTGCACCATGGTGCCAAACTCAGAAAGTGTAAGATTAAAGAATCAATAACTGATATTTTGACAATGCACAGTGCGCCTCTGTAAAGTTTAAGTTTTTTGAAAAGACCACCAAAATTTTTTTCTTGTTGATGATAGTGGACCATCCCCTCATTACATACCACTAGTCACCTAAATCGCATCTGATCCTTCTTGAAAGTTTTTTAGCTCTTTATATTTTTTTTATTTTATTTTTTTTTAATTCAATTAATTTTCAAACAAATGCTGGCTTTTCTGGCGGGCAGATGGATAAAATTACAAATATTATCAGAACATCGGCAGGAAAAAATTCAATACCCAAGAAATTTAAAGGATATCTTGTTTATTTTTACTAAGTCAAAAAGTAAGTTAAGATTTTCGTATGTTTCTTTGATGACAGGAACCATACAGAGGATGATCAGTCTCTTAACACCTATATGTTTTCCTTTTTTTGCAGCGTTACCTCCATCTGAATTCCTCGAACGCAATGAAATTTCATTCTCTTTATTTTCTGGATCTTCTGGAAATAGGGAGAGACATATTTTAAAAAATGTTGGCCTCCATCGCACAAAACCTTGACATTTGGTGTGCCAAACTTTTGTTTCCTTTCTAAAATTTCGTTTACTAGGTCACTTGCATCTGCATAAATAACTGTCTGTAGGAGTTTTCCCTCTATAGAGTTTCCAAAATTAAAGAACTTCTTTATAGTATTTAAACAAAATACGAGATCGACTTCTTCGCGAGGTTCTATATTGACTGCAGTCCTATTTCCAGAAGATCCAGAAAATAAAGAGAATGAAATTTCATTGCGTTCGAGGAATTCAGATGGAGGTAACGCTGCAAAAAAAGGAAAACATATAGGTGTTAAGAGACTGATCATCCTGTCATCAAAGAAACATACGAAAATCTTAACTTACTTTTTGACTTAGTAAAAATAAACAAGATATCCTTTAAATTTCTTTCTGACTTAAAAATAATTCTAATGGTTAATGGCTTACAGACAGCAACATCGTCCTACCCATGTCCTTATTGCTACATTTCGTTAAAAGAACTTCGATCATACAGTGAATATCACAAAGAGTTGCGCTCATATGGCGATAATACACTTCATTTTAATAAATTTGACTTAATTTTTGAAAAAACTTAAAACGTGGAAATTAATCTTTTGGTACTATCAATAAAGCCATTTTCAAAGAATGTATTATTCCGGAACTTTATCTTTATTTTTTAAAGGACTTGTACCACTGTTAGCCAAGAAAATGCATTAAAATGGCCTAAACAGCTACACTTAGTCACGAAAAAATATCAAGGAGAACTTTTTGAAAGGAATGCCTGCAGAAAGTTGTTGAAAAATGCAGAAGATTTAAAGTCAAAAGAGATATTAGTCAACCTGGAAGAAGTTTATGTTATACCCTTTGTTGTGACTTTCAACACAATGAATCGTATTGTTGAAAAGTGTTTTGGTTCAAAGCTGCTTTGTACCTTAAGTGAACTGAAGGCTGATGTGTCACTTTTGAAAGCAGTTTTATAGTGCACAGGAGTCTCGCAGACCCTTTGGAGCATCTTGTCGAAATGGTCCAATTTTTGAAAACTTGGTTGGGTCTGTGGTCGGAACAAGCTGGTGAGTCTGTTCACCGAGAATTTTTGTTAATTTGGAAGAAATACAAAATCAATGATATAAATGACCTGCGATACGGACACTAGTGTTATAAAGAATTTTTGCTCTTGTTTGAAATTGTTTTAAAGTTTAATTAATTGTTGTATTATTTTAAGTGTAATAAATTTGATATATTTTGATTTTGTTAAAGACTGTCAAGTATAGTGCACTGCATTTGATATATTTTTTAATTTTCTTATTATAATCTACAAGTATAAACCGATACATATAAATACAATAAACCGATTTTGTCTCCATTTAATTGAATTCTATAAAAATACTTTAAAAAATAAAAAAAAATCTAAAGAGCTAAAAATCTTTCAAGAAGGATCAGCTGCTATTTAGGTGACTAGTGGTATTTAATAAGGGGATGGTCCACTATAATTAACAACAAAAAAATTTGGGTGGTCTTTTCAAAAAACTTAAACTTTACAGAGGCGCACTGTGAATGGAGTTCACCTTTCTGGGAAATAATAATAAAAGGGCCTTCATTGATACAAATTATAATAATAATAAAAGGATGCAAAATTATATCACGTAATCTTAGTCAATTTTTTCATCCTTTTTTCATTAAGTTTTAGTTTTCAGTTGCTGCACAGGGTCTTGTTGAATGCCCCACATCAAATAAAGAGTTCTTGCCACACATTCAAGAAGCATTAAGAATCACCAGACAACGTTAGGCAAAGAAATTTAAAAAAACATCAGAAAACACCAAAAAGTGAAGCAACAAATGATAATCTTCAAAACTATAGTTTTGTATACAGAGTCAATAAGGATATTGTTGAAGAGGAGCAAATTTAAAAATTTTAATGTTTTGTTTATAAATTTTGTTTGTGTTTTAATTGCCTATTTTATTTTATGCAAGAACATCTAAATAACTATATAGGTATAGTTATTGGTTTTGAAAGGCAAAAGGACTGTTTATTTAATGCAAACATATCCAAATTTAAAAAATTTATTATCAATTTAAATGCTAGCATTTAAGTTGGTAATTATTTAAATATGTTTGCATCAAATAAACAGTATTTTTGCCTTTCAAAACCCACAACTTTATTTTTTCAAATATTTGAATTATTCCGCCAAAAAAAGGCAGCGCATGCGCGCATCCGTTTCGAATTTAATCGAAAATCAAGGTTTGATATACCATTGAGCTCAAATGAGGAATCAACTTGATATGTTTTTGACCTCAAAGCTTGATGTATAAAATTAAGTCTTGAGCTAGAGTTGATTTCAACTTGAACACAACTTTGTTAGCAAGGTAATAGTCCAATATCAATATGTAAAATTTATTATATGATGTAAATTTTTGCAATATTAAATTTAAAAATAAAGGATTAGCTTTTAAAAATTTGCTGAGAACTCTAGGACCATACGTTAGTCAATAAAATTATTTTCTATCATATCTTGCAAATTAGCACATAGTTCCCAAAAATAATTTTAATTAGCTAAAAACTTTTAATCTTTAAAATGCTCTGTAAAATTGTTAAATTTAAAAATAACTTAAGAAAAATATATTATGTTGTGTAATAATATTATCTATCAAGTTTGATAAACGCCATTTAAGACACAAATTTAATTTAGGCACGAGGGAGCTTGCGAGCGAGTGCTTAAATTATTGAGTGTCTAGAAAAATGTATAAACGAGTTGCATACTATAGTTTTTCTAGGACAAATACTTATTATCTAAAAATGATTTAAATTAAGTATTTGTATAGAGCGCCATCTATAAAACAATAGGAGAAAATGTTTATTAGCACTTCACGGTGGAGTCCGAGCCCGACTTTAAGTTATATCTAGTTTACTGCCGGCGAAATTAAAAGGTCAGTACAATGTTCATATAAACTTTTCAAATATTGGCGTTGAGAAACTATTTAATACTTTTATATTTTTGTATTGAGATAATAAAATAATTTTTACATTCAGTATTATTTTAGAAGAAGGGCACTTTATTTTAATGATTGTATGACGTTTGACAACTGTCAACTAACTTAAAGTTTCAGCCCGTGACTAATAACCTGTTGCTAACTTCAGCCCGTGACTAAAACGCCGTAAAGCCACAACTTGTCAATGTGTATTTAAAAGGACACTTAGTGTCATGGAAACATGTACCATAATGGGCGTTTTAAAGGTGGGAGTAGAAAAAAATAATTATTTCCATTCGCAGTGCACCTGTGGATCAAATAATTAGATAATTATCTGTGTAATTATTTAATAAAATAAGTCAAAATCTTCAAATCGGTTATTCTAAAAAAATCGAAACCAAGCAAGTCAAGTCCGAACTATTAAAAAAAAATAAATGAAAGAAATCATTCAAAAGAGTGCCCATTTAAGTTTAAAAAATCTCTAAAAAGAAGCCGGATTTATTAGTTTGTCATACTTTTTATAAGGATTCAACATAACTCTTTATGCAGCATCCTGCATAGCGCATTATCAAGTATGTTGGCAGACGCCGTTTCTGTCAATAGTGACAGATAGGTGTTAGGCGTGTTTAAGTTAAATTAGTGTATAGCATAATCGTTTTAACCTTGCACTGTTTTATTTGATAGGTATATTTTTAATACTTGCTGTGAGCATTTAAAAAATTGCTACAGGGAATACAAATTTTTTCCTGGCAATAATTCTTTTTGTACAAAGCTAACCTAAACTAATTATTATAATGGTATTTTTTTGGATTTTCGAAACTATAGAAAATAGTAGAAACAGAGTAACGGAGACGACAAAAAATTACACTACATTATAACCATAGTGATATAGGTTCCATATTGCTTTTTATATCAAATCAAAATCAAATCAAAACATTTACACTTTAATTTTATAGTTAAACAATGGTTCCCAAACCAAAAAGTATCCTTATGGCCGAATACCGACAAAAAATACGAGGAAATCCAGAAAAATACGCCGAGCGACTTAAAGTGGACCGAGATCGAAAACGAGCATCTAATGCGAAAAAGTTAAATATGACAGAGGAAGAGGCAGAAAAAATTAAAAGAAAATACAGGCTAGCAAAAAGAAAGCAAAGGTTAATTTATAACCCCAAAAAATAACACAAGAATTAACAAATAAAGAGTATTAAGTATGTATTTTTTACAGGGAAAAAAAGAAGCTTCAAAATCAAAGTTCTTCCGAAAAAGTTGGAAAAAGAGGGACATACAAATGTAGTTAAACATTTGGTAAAGCTGTACAAAAAGTTCAAGTTGCTTTATCGAAGAGCCCTGCTAAAAGAAAGGCCGTAGTAAAAGAAATTGTAAACAGGACGTTCAATTCTGAAGCTTGGGATTCGATCTGTAAAGATCCTCGTCGGCTGGTTGATGTAAATCGAAAACTTATTTAATATTTTTTTTGCAACGACAATGTCAGTCGTCAGGCTCCTGGAAAACGCGACGTTAAATCTATTCGGAATGATGTCACTGGTAAACGAGAAAAAATTCCTATCCGCTACATGATGATGAACATCGTTGATGCTTTCTGCGAATTTCAGAATCAGCATCCTAATTTAAAAATTACCACAGCTTACTTTTTTAAGTTTAGATCCAAATTTGTTCTTCCCGCTAAACAAACCCCATTTAATGTATGTAAAAAACATTCGAACTTCTCTTTTTGTGTTCAAGCTATACATTCTGTTTGTACTGAATTTTCTTCAAACTATAAACACTTAATGTCATTAGTCTGTTGTGATCAGCTTAACGAAAAATGCATGTTTGGTGCTTGCTCTGCTTGTAAAACAAAAGTAGATGAGTTTTTGCACCTTAATTTTGATGTTAGCTCTGTGACAATCAGAAATAAATGGAAAGAAATTGAAGGGTTTTTGCAAGTAGCCGAAGAAAAAAAAGAGGTTGCCGCAGTTGTTAATGAACTCAACCAAGAAATAACATATTTTAAAAAACATTGTTTTATCAAAAACCAACAGCCTAACTACTTTGAATCTTGCAAAGAAGCTCAAAATCCTCTAGATGCTGTTGTGCAAATAGATTTTTCAGAAAACGCCTCATTGACAAGTCAAAATGAAATCCAAAGTGCGCACTGAAAAAAGCGCCAAGTGACTATTTTTACGTGTGTCATCTGGTATATGGATAACGTAGAATCTGTTGCCAACCAAAACCACTTTTTTAAACTTTCATAAATATTTATTTTTAATTTTAGATTTTGTTTATTTTAGTGATTTATAATGAGGAATGTGTGGTGTTTACTTTTTTTCTGTACTGCTTTGGATCCGTTCCTCTTTTTCAACAAATAAGCCTTAAATAATAATAATAATAATAATAATATTTATTTATTTCAAAATAATTTGTACATTTAAAGTAAATTACAAAAATATTGGAAATATTGTCACAGGAGAAAAGTATAGAGCTAATATATTAAAAATTCATTGAAATCATATGGCTCCATTTCAACTAAATAATTAAAAACATTTGATTTAAAACTATTAAAATTTTGAACAGTCTTAAGACGAGTTGGTAATTTATTATAACAGACAATACATGAATAAAAACAACTTTTTTCATATATGGTTAATCTATGACTAGGATACAGGTAACAGTGCGTTCTTGTGTTTCGACTAGATTTAAGTTGTTCAAACAAGTGCTTGTTTTTAAACATAAAAATCACTAGTTCGTATATATATAACCAAGTAACTGTCAATATTTTACTTGATTTAAACAAACCTCTACAGGACATGTCACTTTTTTTATTATTAATAATTCTAACTGTACGTTTCTGTGCGACAAAAATGTTTTTGATATTTTTGCTTCTTCCCCAAAAAATAATCCCGTACCTTAGCAGAGATTGGAAATTTGAGAAATACACTACCATTAGTGTTGACTTATCAAGGTAATTTTTTAAAACTCGTAGCGAGTATGCTACCCCATTCAATTTGCTACATAAAAAATCTGTGTGAACACACCAATCTAGATGTTCATCTATATGTAATCCAAGAAATTTAGTCGCAGATGTAAAATTTATTCTATTTTGGTTTATTTTTGCACTAGCTGGAGTGGTCAATTGATCTTGAACTTTTTTAAACAGAATACAATTTGTTTTATCAGCATTTATTTTTAGCCTATTCATAAAAAAATACCTTTCAGTAGCTTCCATCAAATTTCCAATCTCTGCCAGTACATCTGGGTAAGTTTGTCCCCTTACAAGCAAGTTTGTGTCATCTGCAAAGTTGACCATGACCTGATTTTCACTAGAGACCACATTCTCAATATTATTTATGTAAATAAGAAACAAAAATGGCCCTATGGTGCTTCCCTGTGGGATCCCCAGACTTATGTGCTGTGTCTCAGAACCAAAACTTTTACCATCCTTGACCAATCTAACCCTTTGGCTTCTACCTGTCAAATAGAACTGTGTCCACCCCAATGCACAGCCTCTTACTCCATATTTTTCCAACTTTTTATATAGTATGTCGTGATTTAGACAATCATATGCCTTAGACAAATCAATAAATAGTCCCAGTGATAGGTATTTGTCTTCAAAGCTGTCAAATATTTTTTGCAAGAAGCTGTGCACCGCTGTATCCACTGACCTACCCTTCAAGTAGCCGTGCTGATTTTGATTCAACAACTTGTTAGATGTAAAAAAATTTACCAATCTAGTACACATAACAGTCTCAAAAATTTTGGAAAAGGAAGATAGTAAGCTTATTGGTCTGTAATTGTTCATCAATTAAGGATCGCCTTTTTTGAATATTGGGCTAACAACAGCAGTCTTCAGTTGGTCAGGGAAGACACCATAATTCAAAGAGTTGCCTACAACATATGCCAAGGGTTCACAGATCTCAAGAATGCAGTCTCTAATGACAGCAGTTGGCACCTCATCTGCACCACTACTCAACTTATTTTTAAGATTATTAACAACATTTATTATTTCATTGACAGTCACTGGAGTTACATACATAGATCTGGGGTTATGTTTAACATAACATTTAAAATCTACACTTTGCATATTCCTAATTAGGTTAGGGGCAGCCTTTACTAAAAAATTATTAAAATCATTGCACAGTGTTTCAGGATTTTCTGAAATATCAATATCTTTAGTGTGTTTTTTAGAACTTATTAAGCTATTAACTATTTTCCAGACAGTTTTACTTTTATTGTCAGAGTTAGATATTTCATTTTTAAAACCTTTCATTTTTGAAGATTTTAAAACCCTATCATACAATATTTTGATGTTCTTATATTCTTCTTTAAAATTTGGATCATGATTACTAATTACATAAAGGACGTCTAATTGGTTTTTTAAGTTTATCACAGTTTGATCACTTTTAGTTAAATCAGTCTTATTTGTCTTATTTATTTTTACAGGTTTGTTTGGAAAACATTCATTAAAAATGGGTAAAAAAATATTTAAAAAACAACTCCATTGTGCATTTATATCTATAATAGAACATGAATAAACAGAGAGCCAAGTAAGTTCACTTAATCTCCTTCTAAACAATTCTTTGTTTTTGACATTAAAAAATCTCTTAAAAACAGTTTTTGAAATATTGACATTTGTATTTAGGTTGTAAATCGTTATTTTTTGAGCTTTATGGTCCGATAGCTGGCTATCTAAAACCTCTGATCTATATTCACTGATGTTAGTAAAGATATTGTCTATACATGTTTCAGAACTATTGGTTACCCTTGTTGGGTCAAGAATTGTTTTTACAAGATTAAATGTTTCCATTAAAAATAGAAAATCATTTGTGAACTTACTTTGGACATTAAAATTTATATTAAAATCACCGGTTAGGACTAGATAACAGTTTTCATCAGTTAAAATTGACATTATACTCTCAATGACATTAATAAAACATTTAAAATCACTATCAGGTGGTCTGTACACCGACACTATTAAAATTTTTTTGTTAAGAGCACATTCTACCGCTGAACACTCACAAATATTTTTTACTGACATTGCTGTTATGTCTTCCCTGCTCCTACACTTCAGGTTCTCTATGCAATATATAGCTGTTCCACCATGTTCACCTTCATCACGACAAAAAGCAGAAACCAACTTATAGTTTTGCAGCTTGTATTTTGTTAACTGTTCTTTGGATTTCCAATGCTCACTTATGCACACAGTAAAGCAATTGTGCAGTTTTAAAAATTCTTCCAATTGATCAACACTATTGCCGATGGATTGCACATTTTGATGTAGAATGCTGGCCTGTTCAGTTGTACACTTTAAGTTTAAGAGTTTGTTTGAGGTCTTGACTCTTTCTGAAAATTTTCTTTTCTCTCCATAAACATTTTCACTGCCACACTTGAGGGCCAAAATGACTTATCTAGCAATTGATTTCGATAAGTCACTGGCACAGTTACCTTGAAGCTTCGGTACATTTTAGATTGTACATTCAGTTCCTCACAGGTAGGCTCTAACTTTGGCACTTTAGTTTTAATATAATTTACGACGTCTTCTTTGGTATTTTCCTTGCTAAGTTTAAAGACATGTATGTTTGATTTTGGTATGTAAGCAGTCAAACCCATACCTTCATCTGTATTATCACCATAAATTATGTTTTTCTTTTTTTTCTTATGTGCTACCTTCTGAAAACCATCTACATCAGTATTATTTGGTTTGTTCTGGGGTTTGTTTACAATTTCATTTGCACTGCCATTTTCTTTGGATCCTTGCGCAAACTCAACCGACTCAGTGACATTCGGTCTGTTGGTCGCTGTTATACCGGCGTAAGTGCCGCCTGGGTTGCCTACATTAGCATGTCCCGATAACTTCTTACCGAGATCATGACTTGGCGTTTTTGAAACATTATTAGTTAAATGGGAAATTTGGTCATCTTTTTTGGACATTTCAGCTTCCAAAAAGGCGACTTTCTCAGTCAGCAGATTATTACTACGTCTAAGTTCAGTAACAAGCATTTTTAGGAGATCAAAGTTTACTAAACTCACATCACTTATGGCTTCTAAGGCTTCTTCATTTTCCTTTAATACAACTCCACAGCACTTCTTTGCCCGCTTGGCACAACTAGCGTGCGTTACAGTACCACATATGGCACATATAAGGCCCGATCGGGCAACCACTTTGCAAATAATACACGGTTTAGCTAAATTCTCATTGCCTCCCGGCGGAATCACGTCCACTCCGTTCGGCATCTCGAATACTACTAATAGCCCAAATGATTTAATTAGGGACCTTAAGTTGTCGAAAAGGGATCGCGCCTTAATCGATGGAAATGTCTTGATAATTCGGCTCATGTTTTTTTTCTGCATCGAATTCATTTTCAGAAAAAGACGTATCAAAACTATAGTAAATTTAAAAGTAAACTACGTACACGTCATCAATAAAACAAAAATTTTACGCATTGGTACCAACACTAAATGACTAAATCGAAGTCTGTTATTGAATATTTCGTCACCAAATTCACGAAGTGGCGTATATGAAGATTTAAGTTATGCAAAAAAGCAATTTTTTGAAATAAAAATTTAGCATACTAAACACTTATTCCAGAAATTTGCTTTTTGCATAACACAAATCTTCCGATGCGGGTGTTTGAAGTTTTGTGTTATGCAAAAAAAACCAATTTTCTGGAATAAACGTTTAAAATGCTAAACGTTTATTTCAGAAAATTGCTTTTTTGTATAACTTAAATCTTCATATACGCCACTTCGTGAATTTGGGGACGATTTGAATGCATTTTAAACATCTTCAGTTGGCAACAATTAAGATGTTGTCATATTTACATTCAAATATTTCATATTTAAATGACACATAAAAAAGAATTTGACGTTTTAGAATTTCGAAGCTGTCAGTTGTGTTTTTGAATATTTCGTTTAATTCGTGTATTATTTCGTTTATTTTGTTTGTTGTTTGTGTTATTTTATATCGTTTAAGTTTTCATTGCCGTTTTTGTGTTTGTTATATATCGTTTTTTTGTGTTTCCTATATTTAAAATGCCGAAGCATTTAAATAGTCGGAGTCAAGAGTTGGTGTCATCCTTAATACGCTATTTTGAGGCAGAACCGGATAATAATGGACCTTTGTTACCTTTAACAGCTGTTATAGAGGTAAATAGGATTATTA